TAAAGCTATGATTCTTCGCCGCTATCTAATCAATATGGGCCAAGAATGCGAAAAAGGTATAAACCAAAAAATATTAAGTACTTTTGTGGCACAGAAAGGTAATTAAAGAGTAGATTTTACAGATGGCTTGGGAGAAAATCTTTGTCTACATAATGACATTGTAAAGTTTTGGACGAGTAACGACTGTATCCATTGAACAAAATATGTCAGCATAATTAAAAAATCAAATAAATTATGTTTCTAGCAACATCTACTTTGAAGATACAACCAACAAAATTTACTTACAGCTAATTTATGTATTTTCGGCCAATGAATTCCATATGTATGGTCTGTTGATGGGCGAATGATGTTTTGAATTTGCTGTGTTGATTTGTTGGTATGTTATCTGAATTTCAATTGGTCAGTTTTCTTTTTTTTAACATTTGTCACTTAAATATATATTTGAATAAAAGTTCCAAATCACAAAAAAATTTATTTAATTCTATTTTTATTCAGATCAACCCAGGGCTAATCTTATGAACACTTATTAAATACGACACTGGCCTTTAATGCGGAATGTTTGCAACGCAACATATCACATTTCAGGGCATAACTATGTTTGCAAACTTGACAGGTAAAGGGCTTCACTTGTAGATGGAACCCTTTCAGATGCTGTAGCAGACCGTTGCGACGTTTAAAGCATCGCTGACATAAACTGCAAATGTGTTTCCTTTCTTCGGTATGTGTTATGCTGTGTTGGCGTAAACTGTTGGCATTCGGAAAAAATTTCGAACACACCGGACATGTGAAATTTTTATTTTCAGTGCTTGCATCAGAATTTGCTGCAATTTTAGGTTTTCGTCTATCCTTAATGGTCCGGCTATATTTCTTTGTAGGTTGCAACTGTAATTGTTCAACATTCTGTTCTAAATTTAAACACTTCTTTTGCAAGGTTTGATAGAGCTTTCGCAATTGTTGATACTGATTGGCCATGGTGTTGAGAGAGATTTTGTGTGGATTCTTCTTGACAATATTGCGACGTCGATAATTGGTTTGTCTTTGTTTCATTTGCGTAACATTATCTCCCCTTACGTCGCGGCGACGTATCTTAAAGCTATTTTTGAGCATTTTTGTGTTTTCTTCCTCGTTGGTGTTTCCTTTTGGATTTTCATTAGTTTCAGCAACGATATCCTTCGCCAGTTTTTCCAAGTTCTCAGCTGGACGTTCATAGACTTCCTTAGCACTGCTTAACTCTAAATTCTCAATTACTTCCGTTTTCATGTGACATTTACTCTCCGTGCTATTTCTCTCCACCAATATGTTACTGGTCGGCACTGTAACCATGGGAGTACCATGTGTTTGAGTATAGTGCTCTTTAAGATTTTCCACAGAGAAAAACTTCAAATGGCAAACCATGCAGGCATGTAACTGGCAGCCACCAGCTCCAGATTTGACTATACTTTCATTAAGTACCACAATACCATTTCCTTTACTCGTCGGCTGTTGTATAGCACTAACGGAGGTGACAATTGGTTTCAAGGCGCGATTTTCAAAAGAGTTCGTTTCTGAATATGATGGATCCGATATGTAATTATATGCCGGGTCTTTACACAGGTTCTCATTTTGTCGCACAATATTGTCGTCGCTTAGGTTTGGATGCTCCGTAAAAGTTCTCTCATCTCCATCAGATTTTTCGGTCTTGTAAACTTGTTGTTCCTCTTTGAAATCGTCGGTATCCACATAGGCATAATTATGTTCGTCCATTAATAAATGCACCTGCAGGAGTTCATGGGCAGTTAGCATATGGTTGGAACGCTGTTCATTTACTCTTTTCGGCGATTCTTCACTCTCATTTACAATGGTATTGTTGTCATCATCGGGTATGTTTATAAAAGGGTCGTCGAGGTTAATGATTTCCATGATGTCACAATCGTTAATGGGAAAATCACAAAATTCATATTTTTGGTCTACAGCTTCGCCGCCTTCGGTTTCATCATGTTGGCCATCGGCCATGACATCATATTCATCGTTGGCTCCAAGTTCCTGTTGCTGCTGGTCATAACCCACTTCAGCCACTTCCTGCTTTACCCGCACTGCCAGTGGCTCCTGTTTGATCTTTAATGGTGGTTTCTCTACGGCTTTCAGTTTGTATTTCTTTTGTAACTCCGTCTGAGCGGCCCACACAATGTCAACAAATTCACAGAAATGTTGAAGATTTTTATAGCAGGCAGAACACAGCACTTGGGAAAGGCATCATCCTGTTGTATATTCAGTGTGGGAAAACATTTCTGTAGCATGCCATATAGCTCATAATTGGAAGCAAATGTAACTACTGGAACTGAACTGACACCACAAAGACGGCAATTGGTTTTGGCAATATTACTGCTGGCTGCAGCTTCAACATCTTCCAGCTGTTCTCTAATGGCCATGATTTCTTTAAACTCTTTGTCCTTTTGGCTCTCTTTGTCCTTTAATACGTTTCCATCATATATCGGTTTGTTTCTACTGTGACTTTCCACATAATTTCCCACATCCAGGACCGAGGGTACAGCAGTCTTTTTAAGAGTTTTCTTTCGTTAAACGATCGAAAGTCGTCCTCACGAAAATGACGACTACACAAAGAACTCCAGCGTGAGGCTCGCCAGTCTGGTCCTCTTTGCTTTTGTATAAACGACTCCCATTGTTCCAACAAATCCTTCCGTTTAAGAGGAAATCTATAAGGAAAAAGGAAATATGTATAAATAATAGACATTGGAAGTTAAGTTACGGCGTACTTACTTGTGAAAGGATATGTTCTCTGAATGTCCATATCGATCATTGCAATTCACCACTGCACAAAATGAAGGCATTTTATAAATATGTTGCTTTTTAACGTACAAAACACTCAATGGACTTGGGGCAAATCCAACTTTACGGTCATATTTGGTAAAAATGCATAAACTTCAAACTTCACAAATTGTTTTCCACCGAACTTGGTATATAAAGTTACACTTTCTGGATGCCACAACAAGAATTTAAATAGCGTAAATCTTCATTAATACGATCGAAGTCTCCGATTTGGTCCAATTTCTGCGAAGAATGCCTTCCTTCCAGGACAAAAGTCGTATTTTGGACGAGCGTATGTCCATCTGTGTCACACCAAAATAAAACGCGTACCTAATTAGAAGGCAAAACAAAATGACCGATAGCTCTATTGTTTACGAATGAGTGTACTGCATACCGTCGAAAACTTTGTTGTTTACGAACTACGAACATGAGGAAAAACGCAATCAGCTGGAATATTCATTTAAATGAGCAGGGAAGTAGATACATTGATTCCGCGGTGGCTTATAAAAATTTGTAACAATTGTTGCAAATTGTTACTGGATGTCTTCTGTTAACACAAAATATCTGCAAGAGAGAGCGATTTGAGAAAACAATTTTGACAGTTCATTCACTGAGAGTTTGCAATTCTTGCTGGACAAATTTCTTCTTGCAATCACTTGTAAACTCTTCTTCTTCTCCTTCCGTTGATTTACATTCGGACAAGCAATTTAAAAAATTTTATTTTGGAAATCACAAGCGCAATTCCTTTGTTTTTTTTTTACTTTTTTGAAATTTCTGCATAATTAGACGCACTAAATGCTTTGTTTTGACAATCCAGCTGATTTCTTGCAAGTTTCTGCAGGAATTCCGTCTATTACTTTTCACAGTTTTTTTTTGCAAAAGAAATTAAAACTACCTTAATCTAAATTTTTGGTTTTCCGGCTATCGAAAAATAGTAAATGTCAAAACGTAGAAAATAAGGACAACTATGATACAATAAAAAGGAATCACAGAGCTGCTTCCATTGCCATGGAATTGAAACATTGAACTGTTTAGAACATATTAAAAGAAACATGTTAGTAAACTGCAGAATACAACACCAAGGCTATGCCCGCTTCATGTCAGAATTATTTAAATTATATGCAAAAGTTGTTCTTATTTATTTTATATTTTCCTAATTTTTAAAATAAGTTAAATAGATTCTTCAAAACAATAAATACCTACCCAAAAACGGAAGAACTCGGGCACACTCAGTAAAAAAAATTGTAATCAGCTTGTAGCTCTACCTTACCTTTTATTGTACCAAGTTTATGATAACTTTCACGAAACATTAACAACTTGAACCTAAATGTTCGATAAATAAGTGCAATTTTGAAAACTATTTTTAATGCATTTTGTAGACACATGTTTACATTTCCACATAATATGGACATTTTTACTATATTTTGCACTTTTACTTCTTACAATATTTTAATATAAATTAGTAATTAGTAGACTGCTTTCACGCAATCATAATGAACCACCCCAAAAAATTATGATGGCAGTCCTTTAAAATCTACACAAATTCGGGTTGGAAATCATGCATTATACAATTTTTAAAATTTGAATTTCCAACGGCTTAAGCAGTGTTGAACTTCTAACGAAACAGCTGTAATTGAATGAGACAAACATATACGCTTTCATATGTTCTCAACTCAATTTGTTTTGACACTTTGTCTTTTCGCAGCAGCTAGCTTTCATATATCATCTCTGAATAAAAGAAAAATATTAGAGAATCGGGGCAAAACATCTCGGAAAGTTATTATTGCTTATTTACATAACGAGCATGATTATTTTTAATAAAATCGTATAGTTTTATATTTTTCGTAATATAAAATTTATGGCCATTTAATTTCTATTATTTCCACTATCGAAAAAGTTCTGGGAAAAAGTTAAAATAGCAAATCTATCTGCGAAAAAAATCTGAAACGTTGAAAAAAGAAAGTTTAAACCTGTCATCTCTATGAGAGAGGGAGAGAATGTGAGCAAGAGAACAACAAACCAAACAGAAACAGAAGACGAAATAAATTGAAAACAAAGCAAGTCAAGTCGATTGAATGAAATAGGCAAAAAGAAGTGGTGAAACAAGATCTATTTGTCTTTCGACCAGATTAGAAAAAAGAATTCCAAGTTGTTTTTTTTTATTAATTCCAATTTATATGCATAAGACATAACCAGCCAAACGAAGAACGAATATAGATGTGAACAAGAAGAAAAAGAAAATCGGCAAACAAAAGACAACACATTTGGAAATTGATGTTGTATTGGAGATATAGGGAATTATTGCCAGAGACTACAAGCCGTGTCACACAGCAAGGGCCAGCCACAACAGTCTGGGCCGAGGAGCGCAGCGGAGCAGCGTAAAAACAGATTGACAGTCGCAGCGCAAATTGTAAACGTAGCAGTCAGTCAGTCATTGAGTGGAAGAGGTAGAAGCAAAGCTAAAAAATACATATATTTGTGGTGTGAATGCAAGCAGCGCGAAGTTGCGAAACAACAATAACTACGACAACGACGACGACGAATAAGAAGTGGCACAAGACAATCCGACAGAGTGGTACACAAGAAGTGGAGAGACGTGTTCTTGGGTTCCCGTTGTAGTCCCAATTTTCCAAACAGACTGCTGTTCTCTCTGTGTATTGTGCAGCGGCGGTGGCGAAGTAGCCAGCCACAAAAAAGGGGATCCCACGATCATCATCATTATTGTACACTCCCTCTGCTAGACCCCCAACCAATGTTCGTGTGTCTCACACCTTTCCTCCTGATCGAGTAAAACGATTCAAAATCTACGTTCGTGTGTGCGTCTGTATGAGTGAGAGTGAGGTGTGTGCTTAGAGTTTTGGTTTTTACTATCGCTGCTGCTGCTGATGTTTACGGAAGTTATAGCCGCTGTCTTGTAGTGGATCACTGTTTCTATTAAGGGAAAAGAAGTGTCTTGTTTTGTTGTTTGCATTTGTTGCTGCATCACCCGCAAAAGGCGGAAGAGGAAGCCGTAGCTGCCAATTGTTGCAGCAACCACCAGCACCACCACCAAAGGAGGAGCAGTCATACTTGTCAAGTCGAGTGCAGCGTTAGACAGACAACACATTGCCACCGACATCATTTTCTGCCCACCATGTCGTGGACAGAGGTAAGTAAAAAGCGAAACAATTTCTTACCATTTATGGGCAAACCCTTGAGCGCATATCTTTGGAATGGAACTTTATGGCCTTAGATAAGGGTCTCCTTGCTCTCCCATCTATACACGCATATGTATACCGGGAGTATCGAATCGACACCAAAACAATGAGATCATCAATCACTATTTGTTTTACTTTATCGCAATTGTATTGTTGTTGCCACTTTTTCAACCACATTCTTTCGAAATTAATTTTTCGTTTGCTTCGATGTCTTACAAATCGCATTTGTAGCTGAAAAATTGCAGCGTAAGAGCCACAGTGTTCAACGGACAACATGCATACCTGGCAACAGCATTAACATTGGGACACAAGATAATGAAAAACCTTAATTTAACCAGTATATAAATATTCTCGAAAATTACAGCAAAAGGTCGATCCGGAGTTAATCTTCACAAAACAAGAACGTATCGGCAAAGGATCATTTGGCGAAGTTTTCAAAGGCATCGATAATCGTACTCAACAGGTAAGACACCGATGGAGTAAAAATGTTGCACATGTTTAATTATCGTCCTCTTTTTAGGTGGTTGCCATAAAAATAATTGACTTGGAAGAGGCTGAAGATGAAATCGAAGACATACAACAAGAGATTATGGTGTTGTCGCAGTGCGACTCACCATTTGTTACCAAATACTTTGGCTCCTTTCTCAAAGGAACCAACTATGGATTATCATGGAGTATTTGGGCGGTGGTTCGGCATTGGATCTAATGAAGGCGGGTTCTTTCGAAGAAATGCACATAGCCATAATATTACGTGAAGTTCTCAAAGGTCTGGACTATTTGCATTCAGAGAGGAAACTACATCGTGATATTAAAGCTGCCAATGTTTTGTTGAGCGAAATGGGCGATGTAAAGCTGGCTGATTTCGGTGTTGCCGGTCAGTTGACGAATACCACATCAAAGCGCAACACATTTGTGGGTACACCATTTTGGATGGCACCAGAGGTCATTAAACAGTCCATGTATGATTCCAAAGCTGACATTTGGTCGCTGGGCATAACGGCCATTGAGTTGGCCAAAGGTGAACCGCCCAACTCTGAATTGCATCCTATGCGTGTCTTATTCCTTATACCCAAAAACAATCCGCCACAATGACGGGAAACTATACGAAATCTTTAAAGATTTTGTTGAAGCGTGCCTTAACAAGGATCCCGAGAATGTGAGTTCCTTTGATAGCGAGTAATGCCAACGTAAATGTTAATATTGTTGAACTCTATTTTCAGCGTCCTACTGCAAAGGAATACTCAAGTATCCTTTTATTAAAAAAGCTAAGAAAAATTCGTACCTTATCGATCTGATAGACCGTTACAAGAAGTGGAAGCTTCAAAAGGGTGATGAAAGTGAAACAGAATCCGAAAATTCTGATTCGTAAGTAGAGAGAGGCAAATTGTCGTAAATCAATTAATTTAATATGTCTTATCCTTTCCAGTGATGACTCCAAACCGGGTTGCAATAATGATGAACCGTGGATTATGACTGTAAA